CTCTTTCGACCCGATGTTTTATGCCACGTATCAACTGGCACATTGGTTGGAGGCCTGAAAGTCATTGGCCTCTTTTCTTGATTTGAACCCTTTTGGTAGGTTCTTCTGGGGTCATGTCGAACACCAACACCTTCCCTTCTTCTGTTTGCTGCTCTTACACCTTGGATGTGTTCAACAGCTTTCTTGTCGAAAATCGAGCTGCATTGAGGACACAACATCACTTCTGACTTCTTCTTCTGGCATCTTTGCAGGAAATCTGCCAGATTTTCGTTTTTCCGAGGGAAAGCAGTTTTGTTTGCTTGCTCTTTCCTAATGGCCTCCTCTGAAGCTTTCGATTCAGAGATTTCGACCATGTTGACATTCGTGGTGTCTTTGGTAGCAAGAGTCATCTGCTTCATCTGGGCCTCCAGGTCTTCTGTCTGGCCTTGGACTGCAGCCAAGTAGGAACTGGGTTTAGCTCCATATTTTGAGGCTCCACTTGTCTCCAGTCTTGGGCCTTCAGCAGCTTTTTGGACTGCTTTGATTGTTTTTCTAGAAAGATTCCCCGAAAAACTGCCAAAGATTGGCATGTTGATATGATCCTTGGTGACTTCGACCATAGTTATTCCTGGCCTTTTCACCTGACTTCTGGACGCCTCGATCACATTCACCTCTGAAGGTTCAGCATAATGGGCTTCAGCCTGCAAAGGGTTAGAGTCCACAGTAATGGGGGTCTTATCGGCGAATTTCAACCTCCCTTCTTTATAGCATTTTGTACGAGATCCCTGAAAAGAAAACATTGAGATGTTTTATGGCCCAGAAAATTATGATATTTACAAAAGCCTATTTTCCTTCTTTGATCAAGAGGAGGCACTTTTACCCCTGGGGGTATTATCATTTGGCCATCTTTTACAAGTAAGTCAAAAATTTCATCACATTTTGTAATATCAAAACTGTAAGTCTTTTTAGGGAACCTATCATTGGCCCTTTCAGGACCAGTGGGGTTTTTTCCACTTGAGGGGACTAGTAGTTTGCAAGAGTATGGTGGCCCTTGTTTTAACTCCGCTAAATCGACCTCACTTTCATTGACGGTTATAGGTTCGTCGAATGTTTCTGGATCTTCATCGTCCATTTTGACATATGCTATCCTTTCTCTTTTATGAGTTTTTGTCGCCCTGGCTTTTTCAGCTTTAAGGCGTTCTACCTGTCGAACCCTATCGGCCAATTGGGCCATGTCTCTCAGTTATTGAGTGTCTAATTTCTTCCTAATGGAATAATCTAGACCTCCTGCGGCTATTTCGACTAACTCATGTTCTGGCACTTGCGTAAAGCATCTTGCTTTGAGCAACCTAAACCTATTTAGATATTCGTCTATAGGTTCAGTGAATCGCCTCTTTACACTGGCCAATTCTTTCAGGCTTATCTTGGTTTGTCCCATGTAGAATTGCTCATGGAACAATATCTCAAACTGGGTCCAATGGTGGATCGAATTGGGGGGAAGAGTTGTGAACCAAGTGAACGCGTTCTTTGTTAGGGAACTTGGGAAATACTTAATCCTCAGGTTTTCATTGTTTGAAATCTCTCCTGCTTCGATCAAGTATCTCGCCACATGTTCGACAGTGGATTCTGTCGTGTCTCCTGAAAATTTAGTGAACTTAGGGACTTTGCATCTAGGAGGTAAGTCCGTTTGTAACACATATTCTGACAGTGGGGATGTAAAGTTGGGCCTACGGAAGCCCGTATTCATCCCATTTTGCATCATGATTCTTTCGATCATGGCTGTCAAGTTATTTTCCAAACCAATATTCTGGTATTGGATCTGCTGAACTACTTCGTCAGCATTTTGGTTTCTATTGACTATCCTTACTTCTGGGGCTATGACTCTAGGTTCTTCGACCCCGGGTTGTTCCATTCGCATCCTAAGGTTTTCTTCGACAGGCTGCTGGACTTGGTTAATAGTGGTTTCTTCCTCTAGAAGTATACCTTGGTTTCCCCTCATCTGTGCCCTTTGGGGCTGTCGAATAGGTTGGGGTACCCCAAAAAAGTCGGCCAGACGCGCCATTTGCGCTGTCATTTGCTGATTCGACTGGGTGGTATTTTGTATTAGAGGATTTAGCACTGTGCTTAAAGTTTGTGCCAACATTTGAACCATATCGTGGTTGCTTTCGTCCATTTGCTGCCTCAAGACTGCTGTCGAGGCATTCGTAAGGCCATGCATTACTTGGGACGTTCCTCCTAAGAGTTGGGTCCTACCCCTGTTCGCCATACCAACTCCAGAACCTTGGAGTGGCGAAGAGGCGCTCACTAAAGGGTCTGAAAAAGTGGACGCAACATTCATCAGGCTAGCCAATTCTGAAGTTGGCATGCCATAGAGTGGTTCTCGATTTAGACCGACTGTCGAAAAACCTGGGGGAACATAAGGCCTAGTTCCTTGGTTTCCCCTTGGTGGGGGAGTTCCCAAAGGCATTCTGGGGCCAGTAAATGGAGGTAATGGCCCCGTTTGTGTGACCGTTACTGCTGGTGTTGAACAAGCGGTTACCATTTCACTTACGGTTGGGATGACCGTTGTTCCCACGTTTGTTTGTGGGATTTCGCCATTGTTTGGCGGATTCGCCATCGCTTCACTTCTTCTCCTAGTATTGGTATCGTTGGTGTATATTCTACCACTTCTCAATAACATGCAATACTCTCGAAAAAGGAGGATATTTTGTATAAAACGGTTAAACTTAAAAATCAACACAAGGTCCCACCAGGTGTGCCAATTTGTTTACCGTGGAAATTGGTAAACAACCGCTGATCTTCCAAAAGGTTACTTATTTGGTGACTCGCAGGATCGATCAGATTGATCCTAAGACATGGTTGATTTTCTGGAGTTTGACTAATCCTAATGGTGATTAATGTCGGTAAAGTAAAGACACTTTAAGTAAATTGCATGAAGAAAAGCTTGATAGAATAAATAAAAGCGTTAAATAAAAGGCTTCGACGGAAGTGAGTAAATGAAAAGCAATAAAGTTCTTGAATATAAAAGACTTTGATTAATTTAAATGGTGTTTCACACATACATTCTCAACGATTCTTTCGCTCACACTGGATACTTGAATCTAGATGAGTGACTTGTATAAAATGATGAACACCCCTGAAAACTACGTGAACAACTAGTATTTATACTAAAACAAATCCTAAGTAACCGTTGGGAAGTTACGTCGCTTCGAGATGACGCCACATGGCACGCTCACAGCATTCGACGCTCCTGATCTCGGCACGTTGCACTTGGTAACTGCTGGGAACCGTTTCCCCTCCAAGCATTCAAATCTCAAACTGTTCGACCCTGGGCATCAGGTACCTTTGTCGAGAGGTTCCTTCGACGTCGAAGACGACAAGATTCCCACTTAAAGGAAATTCTCTAAGTACCTTGTCATTCTCTGATGAGCCTTCGACAGGATCAGCTAGTCGAAGCCTTCTTATGTAGGAAATTCTTCTGACTCATAATTAATAGTCTATATTGATAACAAACAAGGGTGTCGAATTTAGGAGCCAACACCAGTTGTTCCATGACTTGGGCTTTCTGACCATTATTGTTTTCCCTGCTTCTCGTCAGTCTATTAGCAATTTTGTACGGTCTAGGAGAATTTTACCAAACCCCACAGTGGGTGCCAATTGTTTCGATAGAGCAATATTGATAACCTCCCCGATGTTGGTCGGGTGAGGCCACAATGTTTATTGAGTAGTATTATATTGGTTATATCTCCCTCTGTCATTGGACTCATGCCCTCTTTTATAATACCCGACCTAGACCAAGAGGATCCTTTGTGTTTATGGCTATCATAGAGCTTTATTTCTCTTATCTCCCTGTCAGGAGGGCCATGATGAGTGCTTATTCGATCTTGTCGGTTGTCCCCCTAGATTGATTGGCGGGACCTATTTCAAGGGCGAGATGATATATTTCTATTCGGGGCCTTGGGCCCAGATGTTTAAAAGGCCCCGAGTTGTTTTAGGTAGTCGGGCCGTTCGGGATAATTTCAACCGGGGCATAGGGCCCGAATGTTCACTAACAACAAGAGTGTTGGGAGGTAACTGGGTCGTGGCCTACTATTCAACATGCGACGACTTCTAATATTTCTTTATATTTATAATTTCTCTCTTTTTCAAGTTCTAAGTCAAGACCATCATACCTTATTTTCGGCCACTATTTGGAGCATATGGAAGAGTATAAATAATTATATATGGAACCACATAGAAGATTCAGTAGAAACAATTTGTGATTGTGCCTCTTACTTGTTTATGGGATGGAGAAATGCACAACAACTTCAATCGAGAAGTTCTAACCAAAATAAATTTTCTTCTATCAACACATAGAGTAAGCCTACAATAGGTAATCTGAAATGTAATATAGATGTTTCTTTCTCTTCGACTTATAACAAGGTAGGAATATGAGTATATATACGAGATGAAGAGGGACAGTTTGTGGTAGCTCGAACATAGTGGTTGTCACCTATTACCAAGGTGGACACGTGGGAGGCTTTAGGCCTATTAGCAGCAATAAAAAAAAATCAAATGGATACATGAGCTTAATTTAGATGACATCGATTTAGAGGTAGACTTTAAAAGCGCAGTGGATAACGCGAATAGCCAATATCTAAATTTTAGAGTTCAGTGAAATCATCAAGGAATACAAACACTAACTAATTCATTATGTTCGTTAAGAGACAAACTAATGAAGTTGTTCATGAGTTAGCACGAGTGCTCTATCACTTGTTAGTTTTCAAAATTTTAATGATATTTCAATACGTATTCAACAATTTCTTAATAATGATATAAATTTGGTATTTCCGTCAAAAAAGATGTTTAATTTATATATCAAATGCATTGTACAAACTTACTATCTACAACCCATTATACTTTACATGAATATATATACGATCAAAAAACAGAATAAATGAAACCAAAAGTTAGGTGCTTCATCCTTCAATGGACTAACATATATATCTCTAACACTAAACTAGTACGTCAATTCATGAAATCTAGACGCCATTCAAAAACTTGCGAATCCTCTTAACATACGTTGACCCATTATCCTTAATCTTTTTCTCAGCTTTCTCTCGACGGAGTTGATTGTAACGGGTATGAATTCTCTTCAATAACTCACTCTTCTCCATTGCTTTGCTACGTTTCCGTGATAACGATATAGGTTCATCAATATTGTCTTCAAACCTCATCCAATCATCATCTCCATCTCGCGGCGCAGCCACATCGAATTCCTTATCCACATCGTTGATTTTTGTTATCAAGGAAGAGTCGCTATCACGGTGAGGGAGGTGGCGATTGTTCCATGGCCTGTAATGACGATGAGTGTGGTGGCAACGGTGGCGGACACGTTGGTCGGAAGATAATGGTAATGGACGTCTTGGAAAACGTGAACGGTCAATGGGACCAAAACGGAAAACCGTTAATGGAAGAGGTTTAGATTCTTCTAAAGTTTCTGTTGTTGTTTTTGTTGTTGGTTTATCAATGTTGAAGTGATGATGAGTGGTTTCTTCGGCGGGATGGGAATCTGGTTCGGGAAGATTCTGGCCAGCGAGGAAGATGTTGTCTTTACCAAGAGCACTCTCAAAGTCGAATTGGTCAATGTCGAATGGATCTAAGGGAAGTTGAGTAGAGGTTGAGAAGGTACAGAAAAGTAATAGGAAACATGTGATAAGGATGTTGGGGGAAGCAATGTTTGTGGCCATGGTGTTGGTGTTAGAAGCTTGAAGAAAATGGAATGGAAAGAGGAAGGTGGTAAATTATAAAGTGCATGGGAAAGAAGAAGAACGGAAGATGGATGGAGAAATAGAACCAACGACGGGGAAAAGGGGAAACCGACCACGTTAATGGCGTGTTCTTTATCATGTCTACGTTAATGAATGGATTATATTTTTCAATCACATACATACAACAATTTAGTAGTAACTATGAGGGTGGGGTTGGTCTACTCGTAAAAAATAGTAATTAAATTTAGAAATTTTTGTGAGGTAAATATAAGTTTTTCACGAGTGTCTTTTAATCTTAAAACCTTCTTTATTCTAGACTAAGGTTTTATTTAAATGGATTGAATGAGATCGATTGGAGCAATATGAAATAGAATAGAATGATATTTTATTATATGAATTGAATGAAGTTGAATATAAATTTCATTTAATTTCATTCAATCATTTTATTATTGTATTTTTTTTTAATTTGAGCGAAATGAAAAATTTATTTAGTTTAATTTTAAAATTTGTAAACGATACAATTAAATCTTTATTATATTCCACATCCACTCTATTTTATTTTGTTCCGCTCTATTATGCTCCGTTTATTTTATGATATATTTTTCTCACTCTAAAATTTACTCATTAAAAAATATTGAGTTCAGATTATTGATGGGACATTATTAATGTATTATTAAGAGACAGTAATAATTTATATTTAAAGGTTTTATATCACGGTAATTATGGGTGTTTAAACCAATCCAATAGAAAACCGCAAACCGAATCAAATCAAATGGAAACTGTAAAAAATCACATATGGTTCAGATGTGTTTGGATCATTTATTAAAAAAATCACACGGTTCGGTTCAGTTTGCGGTTTGTATTTTGTAAACTGAACCAAACCGAATCAAATTGTATTATGTTACAACATAAATTTTACTTAACTCACATCCAACCCAAACTTAAACCTATTATACCTTAGTCTTATGATTACTGATCTTACCAGTTGTTAAGAACCTGCAAGGTGGCCGAATGATGATCTTCTTTCGGGTTGCGGTGTCGAGGAGGAGAAAAGGGGGTTGTACCTACAAGACACTCCGACAATCAAGTAAGTGTGGGAGCAAAGAGATACAAGCAAAGTATTAGGGTTTTAGTGGTGAATAGTGAATATTCGATATCTGGCATTCACATATGTTAGGGTTTATATAATGCTCCTGACGTGTGGCCATTGGTCCCTATTTTTGGGCCTAGATATGCAGATCCATGAAAATAGGTAACTGCCAGGGCTTGGCCAAACCGGTGGGTGTGTCCGTAACTAGCCGTTGATCCCGGGGAGGAGGTAGGTTACGGGCAGTGGTCCGGCCGGTCCCATGTTGTCTAGTCGAGATGCTGGTCGGGCAGGTCGGGAGGCGCTCGTCGAATATCGAAGGCCAGTGCCGGTCTAAGAGGGCAAATGATCGACAGTTCTCGACGGGGGGTGCGGGAGATCCGGGCAGTGTCGTTTATGTAACACGCCAATTCTACCCGACAATTATTATAAAAATCAGAGTTATAAAAATTCAACACTTAAATCAGAATGCTACAATCTCAACTTAAAACAACGATATTCATTACCGATACATAACACATTAAACTTGGATGAACCAACAGCAACATAAATTAATCTTTTGAAACCAACAACTTTCATAACTACGCAACGTAATCATAATATTCAACTAAAAAAGGCAGAACATCTTTATCCAACTGAATCATCTCCAAATAACAAGTACATAACGAAAATCAACTTAAAATTCAACAACTAAAGTAATAACAACGATAAAGCAACAAGCGTTCATCCCCCTGAATGTTATGTATCAGAGCAATGACACCGACTCGAACTACTGAAGGTAAAATGAATTCACTCTGTATTACCTGCACGTTACCAAAATATGGGTAACATTCAAACAGAAGGAGTGGGATATCAAACATTATAATAGAACACATGATAAGTAATATATTAGAATTAGCTCATACAAATCACCACTTCACAACTTTTTAACAATATTTAATACAATTAATTCACCCACACGACAACTCAGGATGCAACATGAAATGTGACTTATTTTTATGCACATGCATGTGGTACCAATGGAGCATAACTCCCAACTTAGAAATCTACCAATAAATAGAGGCATCAACAAGGCATAAGCCTTCAACTTTATATTTTCCAATCTAGGCCAACTTAACGAGCATCAACTACAACATGATATGTTATGTGTGCTTTAACAACATGAACATAATAACAACAACAACAATAATTCAACTTAATTCAATATTGGTCATAAGCCTACAACTTAATATCTGCCCATAATTAGAGGCATCTCAACATAAATCATCAATCTTCAATTTCTCAACTTAGAACAACTTACACAACACTGGTATCGACCAAAACAGCATGCACGGGCAATAGGGATAGGGAGACTACGTGCCCCTCGACATGCACAACAACCAAGACAAAATAACAACTAATTTACGCTCTTCGACACAGCCTGCAACTTCGTGCAACTCGACAACAATAATGTGCTCCTCAGCACGTCTTGCAGCCCAATGCCGCTCGACATCTGACACATATTCCCCGACACACCTTGCAGCCTAAATGCCGCTCGGCACCTAACACCATCAACATCTTCCTTGACCACTAATTTTGGCCAACAGCATGGAACATTACAATGTAATAACGACCACATCACTACAACCCATAGTTTCTTTCCAACCGCTCGGAATATCACAACAACTGGCAACTATATTTCCTATCAACAGATTCATTAATGGTACAAGACAGTCACACAGAAACCTTCCTAAAACGACCACAACAACAATTTACTAATTTCCTGCCAACCGCTTGGAAGATACAACAACCTAATGACCACATCAACGGGTAATAATTTACACTAACTTATTCATCGATTATACAGGGCAATTATAAAGACAACTCAAAACGCCCACAACACGACTAACGACCAACTTCAATAACAAGTTCACTAATCATACGAGACAGTCATACAGTAACTCCCTAAATGACCACAACATAGAAAACTAGTAACTTAAATAACAAATCTAGAACATCAACGTACAACAGTCATAAATACGACCAATTCCCAAATAACGATCATCATCAATCCCATTATAAGGTCAGAACCCCACCCTTACCTGGATTGAAGGTCGCTCTACCAAACTCCGGCCGATATCCTTGCCTTGCTCTTCTTGACAACCATGCAACTTGCTCCTCTCTCCGCGCAGCTTCACACGGTCACACACAAAACTTCTTATTCTCCAACTAAATCAAATCCTTGTGCCATCTTAACCTCATAACATCAATTCTATTGGGCCTAACCTACACACACCCACTTTACTACTTCCAACCAAAAACATAAGCCAAACACAATTATTCCATTAATTCTAACATTATTATTATTATTACTAATAAACTAATGAATTAATTAATTAATTAATTAATTAATAATCTAACAACTTATACCAACAATTCTCAACATCTCACAACTTTTCAACAAATAATCCAAAAATAATTTAATTAAATAATTAATTAAATTAACCGGATGTTGTACCCCAAAATTTTCCCTCCCATATTCCTCAAAACATTTCAAGAATGATACTGAAGTTGCTCAAGGTGGTCCAAGGGTTAGCCAGACAAGCTCTCTCCTAAGGCAGTCTACCTCAAATTAGGGTTTCGTATTGCATCAAGATACTTGAGTCCAAGGGTCCCAAAATGCTCAACATTGTCCTAATATGTTCTCAAGATCATCCATGTCAAGTTTCAAGCCCTACAGAGAAAGTTTGCTCAGTCAATTACTCAAAGGCCTGAAAATCGATTGTGTTAGGGCAAAAGTCAACTGTAGTCTACATACAGTCAAACTTCAAGATTTTTGGTCAACATCCTCATTTTGAAGTATATTTCATCATTTGATCAAGGGTTGATCATGATTCATCAAGGATTGCTCACAATTCATCAAAACCAAAAAGTTGCTAAATTAGGGTTTTACAGGAAAAGTCAACTCAACTTTGACCAAGCATAACTTTCTCATACTTTATGATAAATGACCCATAAAAAGCTCATTTTGAAGAGGATACCATTCCCTACAGTACATCTTCATCCCCCAAGTTCAAAATATGCACTCACAAGAAGTTATGAATTTGGACATTATAGGTCATTTTGAAAAGTCAACAAAAACACCTTTTTTGTCAAAGCTTAATACATGAGCATGGAATATCAAGTTTACATGAGACCAAAATGGTTGATTATAGGACATCTCAAGCTTTACAAAAAGTCCAAGAACACATCCAAAGAGTCAAATTTGAGGAAGTTATGCATTGGTGAAGTTGACCCTTTTTACAAAATTGCCAAAAGTCAACTATGCCCAAAACTTCAAATTTTGCCAAATGGGCCCAATCTTTTTCAATTTTTTTGAGTTGGCAACATCGAGCTCTAGCCCTTTCCACTTGTCCTTATCATGTTTTTATTATTTATTTTGATTTTTATTTGAATTAATTCAATTTAAATCAAATCAAATCATATAAAATCCAAAATATTGAAAACCAAAGATTTTATGCTTGTTTCAGGTTTTATTATACAGCTAGCAAACATTCAAATTTGTATCAAGGTATGGTGTGAACAAAAATATTGAAATAGGCCAATTTTGGAAAGTTTTCAAAGTGAATCAAATCAAGAATCCAAATCATTGATGGGGGGAGATTGATATCAGTTATCAATCCAAATCCCTTCCTTGATACATATAGAAGCAATGCAGACCTAAAAGAGAGGTTAGAAACAGGCGCAGCAAGCATAGCAAAACTCAAAAAATCAAGAAAAAGTGCAAGATCGAATTCCTATTTCCAGGTATTCTCAAGGCCTTTTAGCTATCCCAATCGATTCCTGGGAGTCTCAGCAAGCTAAATCCATCAAGAACAAAGCCTTTCCAGTCCCAAAAAGCTTTGAAAGTCCC